CTTTTATTGCCACTATTTTTTCTTGTATGCAAGTTTGAAACAGTTTTTTAAAACTGTTCATCTTTTTTATTTTTATTCTTACCCTAATCCTGAAATTGGATTTATTCGAGAAACTCACAATTGACTTAACAAAGGAAAATCTGTTGCTATAATTTCCTACTCTGCAGATTAAAGAGGAAAGTCATTTAATTATCTCAATGTATATAGAAAACAAAACAAAATTTGGTAAAACCCCACATTCATTCATGATAAAACTTCTTGGTAACCAGTTCCAGAAAAGATCCTTAATAACTTTGAAAAAGTGGCTGAAAACCCACTGACAATACCTCACATTACAAGCGTCTCTGTTAAAAATCAAGAGCGGGGGCTGGAGAGGTGGCTCAGTGGTTAAGAGCACTGGCTGCTCTTGCAGAGAACCTGGGTTTGGTTCCCAGCACCCATATGGTGGCTGACAATTATTTGTAACTTCAGTTCCAGGGGATCTGATGCTCTCTTCTGACCTCAGCAGGCATTGCATGATAGAGGTGCACTTAGATACATGCAGGCAATATACTCATACATATAAAAAAATAAAATATTAAAAAATAAAAGCCAAGAATGGACCAGTGACACTCCAGTATTCATATACAAGGCTTCAGCAGCCCAGCAAAACAGGAGTTGGAGCACGTTGCTGAGTATAGCTTCCACTAAAACAAAACAAAACAAAACAACAACAACAACAACAACAACAACAACAACAAAACCCAACTCTGTCCCAAGGTTTGCTAACAAAGTGAGAATGTGTCTTGGAACACAGAGCCACCTTCCAGGGCAGCCTTATGATCCATATACAAAACAAGTGTGTTCAGAATAGAGATGAGCCCATGGCTCTTCTCATAAAGTTTAAAAAATAACATCCCTTAAATGTTTAGGGGACATTCTGGTTGTGTGGTTTAGTTTTTTTTTAACAGTGCACATTTCATAGCCACGAAGAACTTTCCTTCTCTGAAACTTAGCCTCCCTCTATCACCGGCCATCTCTGTTTAACTTAATGCATGATTTTTCCTACTAGCATAATCAAAGCCAATATGGAATGGAATATGACAATCAGAAACAGCAAACCTTGTGTTTATTTAGATAATAGTTTTTCAGTGAAAATGAGACTACTGAACTCTAGTCCCAACTACATAACATTATTTATAATGTTCCAGGAAAGCAATGTGGCATACACACTCAAAGGCTTACCAAGGGCACCATCATGTTGGGAGCTGGGGGAGATTGGACCCACAAAGAAGACAGGAGACAGGTGCCCTTTCTGGGTACTTGACTTGTGTAACTTAACTGAAGTGTGCTTACCATACCTGAGCAAGGAAGAGATAGCATTGTCCTCAAGCGCTTACCCTCTCACCTTTACCACCTATCGAGAGGAAGCATTCTGAAAATTGCCTGTTCTGGCAGGGGCAGTGGCTACACCAGCTCAAGAAGTGTGTCACCTGTGCAGAAATATCCAGGAGGAGGCCCTGCCCTCCAGATCTCTTAACAGTATCCAGGATCTGCTGATCAAATTTGAAGATTCCCTTCCCAGATACACCAGCAGGACAGACTGGGTCTTACCCTCTGAGTGGTCCATAGCACAGCAACCACACCTTGGAGTCCCTATATTGGAGGCCTTAGAGTAGTTACCCATAGACTCAGAGGGAGCAAAGCTGGTATGGGTGGCCAGCAGGAGCTCTGAGAACTAACCCTGTGCCAGAATTGGGGCCCTGCTAGGCCAATCCCAGCTGTCTGGAAGCCAGTGGGTACTGGGTGCTTGAGCCTTGCCTCCCTCACAGGAGGTGATTCTGACCTTAAGGACCTTTATGTCTGTTTTCCAGAGCTCATACAGGTTTCTAGTCATCTAGACCCTATCCATTAGGTCTCTCTAATATGATAGATGAGGCACTGAAGCTTGGTGGGTAAGTCACAGTCCAGGCCTTTGTACTTTGACTCCGCCAGAGGTCACTTGCAGTTAACATCATTTCATTACTTACCTACTTCTTGTGCCTGAACCATGCAGCTCTGCATCCCCAAAGAAGCCTGGTCCACTTTGAACAGCTTTCAGGTCACCTAGTCTAGTGGCCTCCCTGGCAACCATAAGTTCCTAAGGGCAGAGCAGGTCTCAAACTCCACCAGAAGTGGTCTGCAATTGGCAGCTAAAAGAGCACCTATGTGGAGCCAGGACTCTGGGGGTCAAGAGGTCCATCCATAAAATGTTGATGGAAGAAGCCCAGCATACCTGCAAGGTCACAATAAGGGAATCCTTTCACACCTGGTTCTGGGCTATCTCCACCCCTTGAAGACCTCCAACTTGGAAACATACTGTTTGAATTCAGGATGCAGCCAGTGATATGCATAGCTCTAGGGCCCGACTGGGACCTGCAGGGATCTGAGTCCCATGAGAAGGCCAACAGGTAGCTCTCTCCAGAAAAGTCTCTGTCTTGACAAGTGTGCCTCAGCCCCATCCTAAAACAAAACTGCTGGGTAGCAACAAGGGTACCTGCTGGTGTGACATGAAGCTGTGGGAACATCTCATCTCCTGGGCCTCCAGAGCCACACCCATCCTGGAGAGCCTTGGGAACCAGGTGCATTACTAGATTGGTTCAGTGGAAGGAGCTGATGAAAATGTCCCAGGGTAGATATTTGGGGTCAGAGAAACAAATTAGCAAGCTGACTACTCAGTTGACCAGCAGTTTCTGCTCACCCCTAGGTGGCCCGTGCCATCCTACTCTAGGGACCCATAGGGTCAATCACATTCTCTTGGTCAGTGTGCACCACACAGATAATAGATCCAGCAAGATGTGGTAGGGAGACACATACCCTGCTCTCCTGGAATATTTACTAGAGTCCCATTTTCTTATGGTTTCAGGATCTCAAAAATCACAATGAACATAGTTGTAGGGGCTTGCAACTCCAGCTACTCAGAAGGCAGAAGCAGGATTGTGAGGCCAACATGAGAAATACAGAGACCTTGTCCCCACTCCCTCCCCGAAAACTACCATAACTAAGTCATGAAACTTGGTCATAGCTTGTCTAAGACCCTTCTCATACCTCATATTTGAGAACAGAATTGATGGTACATAAAAGGTAGCAGCTTGGCTGGGCATGGTGGCTCATGTCTGTAATCCTAGGACTCAGGAAGCTAAGGAAGGAGGAGTGCTTTGAGTTTGAGGCCAACCTAGGCTATAAAGGAGTTTCAGGTCAGCTAGGGTCTGTAAGCAGCAGACTTGCTGGGTGAAGCCCCAGAGCTTTTTCCCCAGGTCCTTTGTATTTCAGTATTTACACACCAAGAGAGGATCTGTCCCCTTAAGAGTGATGACTAGAATTTGGTTTGAGTTTAAACAGTCCACACTGGGGGCCCAGTACAAGCACCTGAGAGAGACAGTTGTCCTCCCTTCCTGCTATCTGTTACTCTCTGCAGTTGAAACCCCCAAAACTAAGCCATTTCACTTAAAAAACCCACCACCTTTCCATCTTCCCAGAGACACAGGGTGGGGGACTGTCAAAGGGTATCAATAAACAATATCATGCAGTATCAACTCTTGTGTTTTATTTAGAGCAGAAGGACCCAGTGAAGTCCACAAAACAGCCTATTTTCCTGGAGCAGTTGTCCTGGCCTGGCCTGCTGAGCATGGCCTTCTCTTTCCCCCTCCGCCCAGCAAGAGAATCCCAACCCAGGGTCATCATGTGGAATTCCTGGTCCTCCTGAGCACACAATCAACACCCCTTACAGTTCAGTTCTTCCTCTCCAGCTCTAAGACAGCAAATGAGAGGAGAGGCTTTTCCTTGGTGCCCAGGCTGTGACCCCAGGGGACCTGTTTGTGAGCTCCCAGCACATCCCAGACTTAAGCCTCAAGGTTGTGGCAGAAGCTTAGAGCAAAGAGTGGCAGTGCTCTTGTTTTTGTTTCTGTTTTTTGTTTTTTCCATGCCATGGACAAGCACCCTGAAGGGTTTCTGCCCTGCTGGGATCTTACAGGGTCAGCCAGACAGAACAATTCAGGTCACCCATTTTTCCCCCTTGAATAAATGCAGGGCTCCAGATTCCTAAACAAGCTCACCGTCTTTCCAAGGGGGCTAACCAGGGGCCTCTGGCTTCCAAATCAAGTCCTTTGGGACAACGCTAGTCCCAGCCCTACTATACCCACAGCTAGGCCCTCAACCCTCAGTTACTTTATTGGTTGGGCACCTGCTGGCAGGCACGAAGGCTAGGTCGCCGCAGTCGGTCCCACCACCTTCCCTGCTGCTCCCTGCCTTCAGCCAGTCACAGTCTGACCCAGCTGGTCTCCTCATCAGGCTCTTTCCTAAACTCAGTCTGCCACTGTCAGGCCTCCCTCCCTTTGGCGCCTGGTGCCTGTGGTCCATCATCTCCCCCACTCGCCTATGGATGCAGCGTTTTGCCTCAGGTTTCTTGAATAGTATATACTTCCAAAAAATGGGGTCTGTGGGGAGAATCCCTAAAATAAGTGTAAAAGTTTCCGTTTGGTCACAATGTTAACACTAGAGTGACAGTAACTCCCTAAGTTTCTAGCAGTCCTAGTATCTCGTTTTAATTTTAATTTCTTTGTTCTGGAATTTGTTTCTTATCCCAGTTCAAAATAGTCTCTCTTAAATCCTTGGCGTCAGTGCAGGGTGAGATCCAAAGAACACACCCCAGAGTACTTTATCGGCTGCTTTGCAGGAAGTGGAAAGATCTATTCTGGTCTGTTTGGAGGGCACTATATGAAACTGTGTTCACCACCTTTCAGAGAACAGTTTGGTGTGAACGTGATTTTAGGGAAGTTTAAAACGTTTGTAAGATACCCACAAATAGGTTCCAAGGCATCAAATATAACATCACATGAACAGCAGAAAACAAGAAACTAAAATAAAAAGCGACATTGAAATCCAGAGGCCACCAAGGGCAGTAGCGTCGCACAGGGCAGCGTGTCGCGGGTGCAGCTGTGGCGCAAGCATGTGCCCAGGAGGGCCGCGTTCTGGCCCACGGTCTAAGACAGGTAGTACATGCCATAAGCGCTGACTGGCCCCGCGAGGATTCCAGGAACTGCTGCGCTGCCGAACGCGGCTGCGGAGGTATGGAACTGGGCGCCCAGAGGGAAGGGCAGGGTGAATGCCGGCAGCAGTGGCTTGGCCGCCAGTTTCAGCTTCTCCAGCTCAGCCTCTTGCAGTCGCTTGGCCTTGGCCCGGCGGTTCTGAAACCAGATTTTGACCTGCGTCTCGGTAAGACTCAGGCTGCTGGAGAACTCCGCGCGCTCCGCAATGGACAAGTACTGCTTCTGGTGAAACTTGCGCTCCAGTGCCAGTAACTGCGCGGTAGTGAAGGGCGTCCGAGGCTTGCGGTTGTTCTTGTGTTTTCGGAGGGTGCAGGATGGAGGACTGGCGGCACCTGGAAGGAAAGAGAAGCACAGTCCTGGAGCTCGAACGCCGGCGGCGACCGCCTATCCCGACACCGCCCCATCCCTGCAAGGCGGGTTGCTACTCCGTGCCCGCCTGCGCAACTAACTCGCGAAAACCACGCGGATAAGCGAAGCAAGGGCCGGGGAAAGTGGTGTGATGGGGGGGGGATGCCCCGAACTCAGGCCCTGCTCTCCAAACCGGTGGCCTTGCACTCAAGGGGAGATCTGGGACTGGCCACTACGAAAAAGCGTGAAGCTGGGGCGGGAGGCCGCTGCAGCTCCTGAGGACGAGCACAGAGGCGAGGACTCCACGCAGAATAGTTAGCTGTCGCGGTCCGCGCGAGGTGGACAAAGAGTGCTCGGGTGTGAGCAGTCCGAAGCAGCGAGGCACTGGGAGCTCCAGGCTGCCGACCTCGCCCAAGGGAGGGACGTGGACGTGCCTGCTGAGCCTGTGTGCGATGTTGGGCTCAGGTGGACTATCTTTGCGCTCAGGCTGTGTCCGTTTGAGGCTAATTACTAAGTTATGAGCGACATCGCCCTTCCCACCCTGGACTTCCGAGCCTTGGCTGCGCCGGCGCCTTTCGGGGCCTGGAAACGCGAGGCACTTACGTGGGGGACACGCGTGCGGGATGGGCGGGAGCCAGACTCCGGACTTGGCGACGCCGGGTGGCCTCTCCTCCCCCGGCTCCCCGGGCTCCGAGCCCGATCGGCGCTCAGCCTCCAGCAGCGACTCGACACTGAAGGGTAGAGGACCCCGCCCCGCTTCGCCCCCGCTGTTCGCTCCGAGCCCGACAGCGTTCATGTCTAGAGTCGCAGGGGCCAAGCATGGGCTAGCGAGAGCTGGGCCGGCCCGCGGGGGCGCAGGACGCGGCAGCGGCGAGTAGTGCCACGACCCAGAGCTCGGCGGCTTCCCCGCCCCTTCGCACCCTATAAAAAGGTGGCGCCGCTTTCATGAGCCGCTGCCCAATGATCGTGGCCGCCGATGTGCGGGCCTCGGTGCGGGTTGGATTCACAGCCTTCGGAGGCGGGCCGCTCAGGGAGGGGCGTAGGGGCGGAGCTGCTGCCTGGGAACTAAGTGCCCGGGACCTCGGATTGTCGCACCCATTCCCGGCTTTCGGAACTCGCTGTTGTCTGAGAAAGCGATCCTGCAGGGAGGGCTGAGGGGCTTCCCGAGCAAGGGTAGAGTTGGCTTCAGCCTCCCAAGACGAGGAACCGACGGCTAGCGCTCGCGGACGCCGCGGTTGCGATCTAGGCTTCGGTTCTTTTTTTTTTTTCTTTTCTTTCTTTCTTTTTTTCCCAGACAGGGTCTCCCTGTAGCCCCAGTTGGCCTGGAACTCGTTATATAAACCAGGCTGATCTGGAACTCACAGAGATCCGCCTGCCTCTGCCTCCGTGCTGGGATTAAAGGCGGTGCGCCACCATACTCGCCTTGGCTTCAGTTCTTGACCCTATGTCGACAGCGACCGGCAGGGCTCCGGACAGAGGGAAGCTATGCGCCAACGCATACCGCGGTGACGTGTGGTGGGACTGACCCGCTGCTTTTCTTGTTGCGTCCAAGGCCTTGGGCCCAGTACCCCTGGCACGGTCCTGTTTCCAGTCATGGTGTTTTCCCTGTATCCTGGGGTTCGCACATGATTCACCTCATGCCCAGACTCTGCTTCCGATTCCTTGTTTTTGCCCGAGGTCTCTCTTTGGGCCCCTGGAGCGCCAAGCATCTTTTCAGCCAGTGACAGCCTCGAGGGCTGCATGTGCATCCCAGCTTTGGCCAGGAAGCTGCTAGAGGGACGCGTCACCAGTCGGTGGGCAGAGGCCACTAGAAGGTGGTGAGGCAGACCTCTCATAAGCCTTAGATGCCAGGCTCAAGATGCAAGGGGCCTCGGGCTGGTCAAAATGTGAAGTTCTTCCTCTGCTCGGTCCGGTGTGCACCGGCATCCTCTGGTACTTGGTGTTTGCCCGGAGGGGTTGCCCTCACAGACCCTCGGAAAGTCTCCAGAGAGGGTCTTCGGTGACAGCAGTCATAACCGGGACTCGGACAAATCCGGTGGGAACCTCCCGAATGCTCCAGAAAGAACCAGAGGACACTGACTGGGAGAAACCACTTTGCCGGCTCAGAAAGGGAGGACCTAAGGCCAGATAGAGCTCTGCTCTCCTGGTGATTCTTATCCCCAAACTCTTTGAATCTTTAGTTTAAAAAGAAGCATGGTTCTGCAGCCTCTTTCAGAAGGAACAAACCTGGGCATGGGTTTTAGAATACATCAGGAATTGATTTGGGAAACAATAATGCCGGGTTAATATCCTAGAATACAGGAGGAGTAATCTAAATGTCTCTATATATTTGTTTTAGACAATCAAAATTACCTAAATGAAGTCCAGCTTTGGGAGTCAAACTGTTGAGTTCAGCCAGGGAAATTAATTAGAAAGTTTTTCTTCGTGTAAAATTTGAAGATGCTCAAAGGGGCCAACAGAAGGTTCCTAACAAGCTAGGTCTCTATGTTCCCAGACAGACCAGTTCCAAGCTTTCTTGGAAGGTAGCTATGCTTACCACTTTGCCACCAACACTTGCCTACTGCACTCTAATTTAACAAAGACGTTCTGAATGGATTGAAGATAATTGCATCATTAAAACACTTTCTTTGAAGGCCTCGCTGGTAGTTTATCTTCACTAGACCACTCACAAGAGTGTTCAAAGATTTTAAAAAATAGGAATGAAGGATGGCTGGTCTGGGCCTGCCTTGCATCATCCAAAGTGCCTCTGACTAAAGGAAGCTGGAGCCTGTGTTCCTGGCTGATATGACCACCTGGAGAAAGGGACAGGGTTATAGACCAGAAGCAGGTCTTTTGGGCATGATCTCCTGGCTGATATGACCACCTGGAGAAAGGGACAGGGTTATAGACCAGAAGCAGGTCTTTTGGGCATGATCCTTCCTGCCAACCAGTCCATCCTTGGGTTCTCACCTCCCCTACTTCCTAGAGGGATCCTGATGGCAATCTTAGCAGTCCTGCTTTGTACAGAGACTGGCCCCTGCCTGGTACCGGCTCCAGTCCTGGCTGATATGACCACCTGGAGAAAGGGACAGGGTTATAGACCAGAAGCAGGTCTTTTGGGCATGATCCTTCCTGCCAACCAGTCCATCCTTGGGTTCTCACCTCCCCTACTTCCTAGAGGGATCCTGATGGCAATCTTAGCAGTCCTGCTTTGTACAGAGACTGGCCCCTGCCTGGTACCGGCTCCAGTTAGAATGAAAAGGAGGAAGGAAAGAGGCAGGAGGGAGGGGAGAGGCAGGAAGGAAGAGAGGTAGGATAGAGGAGAGCAGCAAGGAGGAGGGGAGAGGCTGGAGGGGTGGGGAAGATTTCCCCCAATAGGCATGAAGATCTCAGACAAATCCCCCACAGGATATCTGTGCCCTGCCCTGCCCATGGCCTGGCTAAGAAAGGACCTTAATTGCAAGGCAAAGTGGTAGGGGTGTGAAGGAGCCTTTTCTGCCAACACAGTGGCTTTTTATGTAGGAACTAGAATCCCATGTGCACAGGGAGGCGGGATACTGTCTCTAGTTACTAGAAGAGATGGGGATGCCTGTAGGTACCAGGCCTCTCAGCACATGTGTCTGGCATGCATGCACATGTGCTTTAATGGAGTGCCTGAGCACAGCCATATCCCAGCTATGCCCAGAAATGACAAACCCTCCAGGCTTGGTAAACATTTCCCCCAATTTTAGGGGTATAGTTTCTTTCCTGTGTTGAGGCTGTGCTGGCTTTGGAAGGGATTCATGAATACAGACAGCAAGGATCAGAAGGGCTTTCTAGTGGGATGAGAAGATTACTGAGAAAGAGCTTCATTTTAGGAGTTATGTAGTCACTTTTAGCACTTAATAGAACTAGGGCAGAAGTGCTCTCTGCACATGGCAACAACTTGATGCTGTAGTCCAGTAGGCATGTTAGGCTCATGCTAGATGATCCATTCCATGTGATGAAGGTGATACCACATTCTTGAAGAAAGTGGCTCAGCTTGTTTAGGACATCAGTGCCATTGTGTCCAGCCATTGATGGAATTAGCCTCTAATTTTTTTCCTAGCATATATATAGTCAGTAGTCTGTGGACAACTGGGCTATTGCTGGCCAGCCCTCATGTAGGCAGCTGATTCATGCCTCATTCTAGGGTGGAGTCACCTGCTACAATCTCTTTCAAAGGCCTTCCTTGCCAGACACTGCAATCTCCAAGGAAAAGCCAAGTGGGAAGCCACTAGTGTCTGCCTTCTTAGCCACTGCTGTTGGCTGTGGCCCCAAACACTACAACTTTATCTTGAAAAACCAGGGCCATGCTCTCCCTAAGGGCATTTTTTGGAGGAACCTTTGGGTTTTCCCTTCACAACTTGTTGAGAAGTTACTTCAAACACAGAGACCTGGGTGTTTTTCTCAGGATTCTGGCCAGACAGAGATCAGTTGAGGGGAACTCTGGCAGCTAGCAGGTGTGACAGAGAACACATAGGAAAATGAGATGTGTTGGTAGGATGTGAGACACAGATGAGATGTGAGGTATTAATAAATTTGGGTCTGCAAGCTTATCCCAGGGAAAAGACAATGCCTGAGAAACATGTGTTGTGGAGAAAGAAGAGGCTTACTGAAGATGCCAGCAACCAGAAAAGAGAATACTGTTGACTCAAGTCACCCCTTTAGATCTTGGGCAAGTAGAGATACCAATATGAGGACTGAATCAGGGTCCATGAGCATAAATAGGCCTTTCTCCAGAGTCAAAGTCAGGCAGTCTGCTGTTCTGGCACCAATCACAGGTGGCAAATTCCTTGTGATGGCATTTTCTTGGGCGCAGAATGGTCCAACTTTGAGGTAGTTTTGCGATCAAGAACTAATTTCAGCTCACAAAAACAAGTAAGATCACAAGGATGCAGTCAAGACCAAATCCTTGGAATGACAAAAGGAACAGGAGTAAAGCAAGATGGAACCACTGATACCACAGCTCCTGGTCCTTTCAGTAGAGAACCCAAAGGTTATGGCAGTGAAGGACCAGGCAGAACGTGAAGACAGAGGTGCCTAGACGTCTCAGCCCATTCCAGTCACTGATACTGAAATTCAGAGTGACAAATGCTTTGGGTCATACAGGATAGGACCTGTCTGACTCCAAGTCCCTGTTCTTCCCTCTGCATTCATTTTGAGGGGTAGAAGGTAGGCTTGGTGATGCTCCTTTAAAATTTTTCTTTTTCTTTTTACTAAGTGACATATTTTCTTGCTTCTTCATATTTGTGATTTTTGCTTGGGTGTTATATGATATGACTTTTACCTTGTTGAGTGCTGGGCATTTTTGTATTTCTGTAAGTTGGTTGTTGTTGTTCTCGCCAACAAATGTGTTAAAAATCCATTGCAGCGCATACAGGGAGTAACAGTGTGAGAAGTTATACATTCTAAATACAAGCCTAAGTAGTACTACTTAGTTAGCTTAAATGCTAACTCAGAGGGTCTTTTGGAGTAAATAGTTCTGGAAGGTGTCTATTCTCTAGGACAGTAAGGGTTCTCTATGGAAGGCATGTGCATGGTGGGTATGCAGATCCATCAGACAGGAGCACCACATTCATGCTAAACTCCAACTCCACATACCAACAAGCTCCTTGACCATCCCTCATTCCACAAAACATGATAGCAAATTTATTTACTTTAAAAATGTATTTATTATTATTGTGTGTAGGTTGTTAGGCTTGCATGGCAAGTACCTTAACTTACTGAGCCATCTTGCCAGCACCCACAAATTCATTTTCCAAAAGGATGTTTTGTTTTGCTTTAAAAAAATCCTATTTTTAAGAGAAAAAGTAATGCACACCGTGGATGTTTACAGTTAGCAGCACCAGCCTCCCCCTGCACTGTTAGGTCTGGTTCCTTTTGTTTTTGGTTTTTTTCCTTTGAGACAGGGTCTCTCTGCAGTCCAGCTGGTCTAGAACTCATTATGTAAATCAGGCTTGCCTCAAACTCAGAGCTCCACCTGCCTTGGTCTGGGATTAAAGGTGTGTACCACCATACCCGCTGTATTCTTGTTTTGTTCTGGGGCAGTAATGTTATTTGGAAACACTTTGGATCTTCCAGCTCTTCCTTTTAACTTTTCTCAGATAGGTCTGCAGCAGTGCTTGACCAGAGTCAGTTGTCCTTTGACTGAGGCCAGGTCCTCTGAGCACTCTGTTTTTAATCCCTAGATTGGGGAAGCAGTCACTATTCCTATCCCTGGTGAGCACCTGATCTTTTTTAGAAAAATATTTTATTTTTATTTTATTTGTATGAGTGTATTGCCTGCATGTAGGTAAGTGCACCCATGTCATGCAATGCCAGTGGAGGACAGAAGTTGTCGGATCCCCTGGGACTGGAGTTATGGACAATTGTTAGCTGCCATGTGGGTGCTGGGATTTGAACCTGGGTCTTCTTCAAGAACAGTGTTCTTAACCACTGAGCAATCTCTCCAGCCCCCGAGCACCTGATCTTTTAAAGATTTTTATTTTTAGTTATATGTATATGGGGGATGGGGGATGTGTATATGCATGCAAGTGCCCTCCCAGCCAGAGGTATTGGATTCCCTGTAGTTACAGGTGATTGTGAGCCATTTGATATGGGTGCTAGGAACAAAACTTAAGCCCACTGCAAGAGTAGTATGTGCTGTTAACCACTGATCCATTTCTCCAATGCCCTCCCACAATCTTAGTTAGCTTTCTGTCACTAGGACAAAATACCTGAGAAAGTCAACCTAAAGACTTCCCAGATTTCAGTCCATGATCACCTGACCCTCCCTGATGTTTCTTGGCCTGTGGTGGGCAGAACTTCATGGTGGGGAGCACATGGTGCTGGAAGC